CACCTCAGCCCCAAAACTCCTGAAACTGATAAGCAACTTCAGAAAAGTCTCAGGATATAAAATCAATGTGCAAAAATCACAAGCATTCCTATACACCAATAACAGACTTAAAGAGAGCCAAATCAAGAATGAACTGCCATTCACAATTGCTACAAAAAGAATAAAATACCTAGGAATACAACTCACAAGGAACATAAGGGACCTCTTCAAGGGAAACTACAAACCACTGCTCAATGAAACAAGAGAGGACACAAACAGATGGAGAAACATTCCATGGTTCATGGTTAGGAAGAATCAATATCGTGAAAATGGCTATACTGCCCAAAGTAATTTACAGAATCAACGTTATCCCCATCAAGCCACCATTGACCTTCTTCACAGAACTGGAAAAAACCACCATGAACTTCATATGGAACCAAAAGAGAGCCCACATAGCCAAGTCAATTCTAAGCAAAAAGAACACAGCAGGGGGCATCACACTACCAGGCTTCAAATTATACTACAAGGCTACAGTAATCAAAACAGCATGGTACTGGTACCAGAACAGAGATATAGACCATTGGAACAAAACAGAGGCATCAGAGGCAACACAACATATCTACAACCATACAGTCTTTGATAAACCTGACAAAAACAAGCAATGGGGAAAGGATTCCCTGTTTAATAAATGGCATTGGGAAAACTGGCTAGCCACGTGCAGAAAGCAGAAACTGGACCTCTTCTTGACACCTTACATTAAAATTAACTCCAGATGGATTAAAGACTTAAACATAAGACCTGGCACCATAAAAACCCTAGAAGAAAATCTAGGCAAAATCATTCAGGACATAGGAGTAGGCAAGGACTTCATGAACAAAACACCAAAAGCATTGGCAACAAAAGCCAAAATAGACAAATGGGACATAATCAAACTCCAAAGCTTCTGCACGGCAAAAGAAACAGTTACCAGAGTGAATCAGCAACCAACAGAATGGGAAAAAGTTTTTGCAGTCTACCCATCTGACAATGTATTGATATCCAGAATTTACAAAGAACTCAAACAGATTTACAGGAAAAGAACAAACAAGCCCATTCAAAAATGGGCAAAGGATATGAACAGACACTTTACAAAAGAAGACATACATGAGGCCAACAAACATGAAAAAATGCTCATCATCACTGGTCATTAGAAAGATGCAAATCAAAACCACATTGAGATACCTTCTCATGCCAGTTATTATGGTGATCATTAAAAAATCTGGAGACAACAGATGCTGGAGAGGATGTGGAGAAATAGGAACACTTTACACTGCTGGTGGGAGTGTAAATTAGTTCAACCATTGTGAAAGACAGTGTGGCGATTCCTCAAGGCCTTAGAAATAGAAATTCCATTTGACCCAGCAATCCCATTACTGGGTATATATCCAAAGGACTATAAATTGTTCTATTATAAGGACACATGCACACGAATGTTCATTGCAGCACTGTTTACAATAGCAAAGACCTGGAACCAACCCAAATGCCCATCGATGATAGACTGGATTGGGAAAATGTGGCACATATCCACCATGGAATATTATGCAGCAATCAGAAATGATGAGTTTGTGTCGTTTGTAGGGACATGGCTGAATCTGGAGAACATCATTTTCAGCAAACTGACGTAAGAACAGAAAATGAAATACCGCATATTCTCACTCATAGGTGGGTGATGAAAAATGAGAACACATGGACACAGGGAAGGGAGTACTAAACACTGGGGTCTATTGGGGGAATAGGGGAGGGACAGCGGTGGGGGAGCTGGTGAGGGATAGCCTGGGGAGAAATGCCAAATGTGGGTGAAGGGGAGGAGGCAGCAAAACACACTGCCATGTGTGTACCTATGCAACTGTCTTGCATGTTCTGCACATGTACCCCAAAACCTAAAAATGCAATTAAAAATAATTTAAAAAAAGAATTATAAAACAAATATGAGAAAAATAATATTACTGTCCTTATTTTGAGGATGAAAAGAAAAAATGACGCACTGAGAGGTAACATGGTTTGTTTGCTTGCTTAAGGTCATAAAGACAGCAAGGAGTAGAGTTCAGAGTTTGACCTAGCAGTAATTCCAGTATCCAAATTAGCAAGACAAAAATGGTGACATGACACTTTAGAAGATATTTATAGTATGGAATAAATATTTATTATTAAATACAAATTTAAACTCATGAGGAGTAAGATAAATGTTTTCCTAGCTGCTTTGTAATTTGCAAGGCAGTAGCATTAATATACATGACAGTTTAAATTATTCACTCTGCTCCTTCTGCTCCATGATCAGAGTATGCCTTCCTGGGCCATAGGAATCTTACACTGTAGATTCTTTTCTATCATTTTAGATAATAGAAATAGCTTTTGTTAACTGAATATTTTCTTTGCATTAAGCATACACTTCCTATATTTTCATCATCATAATAATTCATGAATAAGCCATACTATTTCCAATGCTTGCACTATCTTACAAGTGAAGTATTTTTACATATATGGACACTGAGATTTGGGAAGTGCATTGTTTACTTAAATTCATAAATGGTTTAAGAGGTTAAATCATTTGCCAAAGTTTGCACAATTAAGCCACAATTTTAAAACTGGTTTATCCAACCCCATCTTTTTGCTCTTTCACTTCTTTTCACTTTTTCGCTTTCCTTCCAAATTTTGCTAACTGATGCCTTAATGAGCCATCTCATGCTTCCAGGAACACCTAGTTAGAGTTTATACTGCTCTTTACTTCAAATTTTGGAAATTACAATAAATTTAAGTGTGAGAGAAGTTGTCCTTGTCAGTCATCACTCCTTGACCTATTTTGAAATGAATCAAAATTCTTGGAAAGCAAAAGAACAATGCAATAACTCAAGCAACATTTAGATGAAGAATCAATCCCATGAACTCAGGTGTAGCTCAGTCCCAGGAATGGTAAGATATATTAAGAACCAGCACATTGACTCTAAGAGTATTCTAGTATGTTGGGCCATTCTCTTTGTCTCCCCATTCCTTGGCCTTCCTGCCTTGATGTTAATGTTTCCTTCTTAAAAAGTTTCTCCAAGTCTATTCCTCAGCATATTTATCAGTGGTGTGGGGTGTGTGTGTTTAAAAAGGATGCCCTGGTCTTGCACAGTTGTGGACAAAACCTGAGTTTTTTTGCATTTCTCCATTGTAGGACTTCTTAATGGCTTTTTAAATATCCTAGTGTGTACCAAGACTCTTCTGGGGTGCATTTGTCAGCATTTATCCAGACAGAATCCCTTTCTCCTGGAGCATATTCAAGGACCAGTGTTCTCTTAGCTCACTTAGAAAGACACTACCTCCTAGTCAAATACCTCCCATTAATAATTTCCCAGCTTGAGTCTGGGTCTCATCAGAAGCTAACAGTCGCCCCATGCTCCTGATTACTACTGAGTGCTTACAGCTCATGCCTTCTCCTTGCCCCAGTGGAAAATGCTGCAGTGCCAGTCAGCTAACAGAAAACAGGTGCCAACTGTGGTCAGTGAGGAAGATGAGCCAGAGCCCAGCAGCAGTGATACAAGGGCAGAGAAGACTATTCAGAGGTGGGAAGAAGAGAGGGAACTCACCCAGTCACTTACTTCCACAACAGATGGAGTGGCCATCATTCCAATTCATCCAGGAGAGCTTTCGTTTATCCCTGTTGTCCCAGCATGATTATATCAAAAGTATCTTATTGAACTATAATTATATCTTTTCACTAGAGCACAGATGTGGATTGTCTTCTCAGCTTGCTGATGAGAGTGTACTTCCTAAAATGTTTTGTTCCCATCACAATCACTGAGTCTCAGAATTGGAAGGAATTATCTATTTTTCTACCCAATTTTCTACATGTGAAAGGAATGCTGGGGAAGATTCTGAGAAAAGTGTTGGTTCCTAATAAAAAGAGGTGCAGAGAAGAGATACCTCCTCTTCCTCGTACGTGTGTTACTGTGTCTATATGAAATGCCTAAGAGCTTGGCAGTCATCTTAGGCCCTTCCCATATATAGTATCCATTTCTGAAAGAGCTTTCCAATTGCGTGAGCTTCAGACCCCATAAAACTCAGATCTGCCTCCTGCTCATCTCCCTGATCTAAGTCAGACATCTATGAACCCAACCTCTTGAGTATCTCTCAAGCCTGCTCACTTGTTTGTCTCCAGTTCTACCATCCTGGTCCACACTGCCATCTTCTTTCAACTGTGATATTTCCAAATTGCGTATCTTATCACATCAATCTCTTCTTGAAAACTCACTGAAGAGTACTTAGGATAAAACCAAAATGCACGCCTGTAATCCTAGCACTTTGGGAGGCCGCAGCAGGTGGATCCTGAGGTCAGGAGATCAAGACCATCCTGGCCAACATAGTGAAACCCAGTATCTACTAAATACAAAACAAAATTGGCTGGTCGTGGTGGAGTGAGCCTGTAGTCCAAGCTACTCGGGAGGCTGAGACAGGAGAAATGCTTGAACCAGGAAGGTGGGGGTTGCATGAGCCAAGATAGTGCCATTGCACTCCAGTCTGGCAACAGAACAAGACTCTATCTAAAAAAAAAAAATGCTTAGTGTGGGTCTGAAGCTCTGGAGAAGCTTCCCTGCTCCCATAGTTCCATGTCATCTCCCTGCCTCACTCAGCCTCTGGGTATAGCACACTGGCCTTCCTCTAGTATGTGAATGCTCCAAGTTCTTGAACATCCTATTCTGCTAGAAATGCTTTTCCTCCATTTCTTTTCAGTTAATTTTTTCCTCCTCACTCTTTAGCACTTAGTTTACAAATTCTTTCCTCAGGGAAGTCTTTCTGACCATCATACCAGCTTAAGTCAGAACCTCTGGTATATGCATCTCCATAGTGTTTATCACAAGGCAACCACACACACAACAAGCTATTTCATAGCTGTCTCCATGAATGGAATGGAAGCTCCTCTAAATGTCTCTCAGGTTAACTGCAATAATCCAAAGATTAGCACAGTGTCTTCTCCAACAAGGTGGACATGAATGAGTACTTACGGAAAGTGTTGTTGAATATTTAGTCTATCTGCAGGTCTGTAATGTGCTTTGGAACGTAGAAATTGGGAAGCCAGATTAACCCTTCTCAAGCAGCATGACTTGGCAGTGTTAGCACTTTCTTCCTCGATCCCTAGGGAGGGACGGATTCTGTGACCAGCTACCTGGGTGACTCTTTCTTCCTTTCTAAGTCTCAGTTTCTTCATCTGCAAAGTAAGAATAATAATATAAGGTTGGTTATTTGCTTATTTGGCACATATTTATGAGACACGTATTCTGTGCCAGACAGTGTGATAAAGACCAGAAATAGCATAAATGCTACATAAATATGCCCTCTGCTTTCATGAGCACTGTTTTTATTCATCATTGTGTCCCTCATCCTAGCACAATGCCTGGTATGCAACAGTTATTAAATATGTGTCTGTTGAATTAACTAATATAGTTCTTTTGCAAATCAGATGAAAGTGCCAATGAGTAAAAGTAGAGAATAATAATAGCTGATACCCAGGGAGGATCCACTGGGGGTGGTAGGCAGGATGCTGAGCCCGGGACACATGGATGGTTTCACATATTCTTCATTCAGTCATGTAGATACACTTACTATTATCTCCACTTTACAGAGAGGGAAACACAGTAGTAGCACAAACAGCTGAATTTACCTGGTCAAGGTCTCATAGCTAATAAGTGCTGTGTGAGCACTAAACTGATGGAACCCTTAGATGGTATCAAACACTAGCTGAGAATCCAGAGTCCTAGGGAAAAAGGAAATGTGGAGAGAAATCCAAAGCTTAGAGAAAGTGAAGTAGCGACATTAGAAAAGCAACAGGGAAATATCTTTCCGTATTTTCATTCAGCTGCTTAGTTATCTATGAATGCCTTATATACCTTTTTCCCTCTTCTGTTTTTATGTTTGATGCAAGGTAATAATACACTTAACTATGCCAGGCTGTATAGTTTTATTTAATACTACGTTATATGCCATCAGTTGAAGCACTGGATCATAAGAATGCCATATAACTCTATGTATCTTGATAAGAAAATGCACTTAAAACCAAATTGTAGTCCGCCGATTATTGCTTATATTGATTTCAAAGTAGCCCGGTGAAATAACATAATAAAAGGTAGGCAAAGAAACAAGCCATATGTCAGATGTATTAACCACAAGGAAGCCAGACAGACACTAGTATCTGAGATCAAAAGAGCATGTGTGTGACAAAGCAAAGCAAATAGCTCCCCTAGGAGACCAAGAGCTGCACTCACCAGCACACCTCAGTAACCGCATCCAACAGTGGGGCACACAGGAGCAAAATACGCAAGGGGCTTTTGAAAGCTGTGTTTTTCTTTCTGACTTCTCTTAATTAATTACTTGTGTGACTGTTATTGACCATAACACCCAATTTTATATTCAAAGCCGGAGGTCATCCTAATCTATTGCTGAATACATTACCTTGCTTGGGAGAGCCTCATGATATTCATACGCAAAATTATCCAAGAACAATTTATTAGGATAGCAGTTCTTAAAGTTTTTGGACTTATATACTAGTCATACTCAACATTATTGAGGACCCCAAAGGGTTTTGTTTATGCGGGCTATATCTATTGAAACTTTCTGTATTTAAAATGGAAAAAAATAAATATCTATTTATTAATTAATTCTAAAATTACAATAATAAACCCATTGTATATTGACATAAATAACATACTTTTATAAAAAATAATTACATTTCCAAAAAATGTTAATGAGAAGAATTGCATTGTTTTATATTTCTGCAAATCTCTTCAGTGTCTGGCTTAACAGAAGAACGCTGGATCCTGCTATATTTTTCAGCATTCAACCTGCTGCAAAATGATATTTTGGTTGAAGTACATGAAGAAAAGGGAGCTACACATAGATATGTTTGAAAAAGGAAGGAACGTAGTTGTGGATACTCTTCTGTGATACACCAAGATTCAACAAGTTGTTTTTTTAAAAGATGTGGACTATGAAACTAGACCAATAAACTTTTTGTGCTCTCTTAACTTAAAATCCATTGGTCTGTCTTGAACTTTGAATAGAGCTTTTATCCATGCATAATTTTGTAACCCCATGCATTGCTATTTGGACAATATTGATTCACTGAGTTATACAGATGTTCCAAATATCGACACATTTTATCATATGATATTTTTTAAATTGCATTAGTTAACATTCCCAATTTCATAATAAAATCTCTAAGTATTAAGAAGCTATCAATCTCAGGTAGTGGATAAAAGTTTTCTGAAACTTTAATTTCATTTGAAAGCTCAAATTCGTGTCAGGATTACTAGGTAAATCATGCTGACTTTGCAGACACCCTTTAAAGATAATCAGGACCCCCAGGGGTATGTCGATGATAATTTGACAATTGCTGTGTTAGAAAATTTTCAGTATTAAGGGATATTGTTCCTTTTAGACAAGCCCATGTGATACAGGTTAAAACCAAGGAAGGCTACATTGAACCAGAAATGGTCCTGTTCAGACACCATTCTGTAAGACAGGCTGCTATATATACCTGATCTATCCAATCCCAGCACTGGCAGTCAGGTAATAACTGTCACCATGGATAGGACTAACCCAGATTCGAGTGGTTTTCCTTCATGTGGCTACACTGTGATCTTTAACAAAGCGGCCAAAAAGGCTGATTGAGAAGAAAGGAATTTACGCTATAGAATCAAACATATAGATTCCATGTATGCTATAAAATAAAAATAGTATGTGCAGGAGGATAAACTAATATTTTAAAATAACTTCAATGCAAATATAAACATAGCAAACTCTACCTCTCTGTGGTTCTTCTGTTAACTCCCAATCATTTCTTACCAGGAATTGACATCTAGAATGGTTCTGTGGTGGTAGATCCTCTGGCCCTAAAAGACAGGTAATTGTAAAAAGGTTTCTATATGCATATCTGTAATTTATCAAAATTCATATTTACAATTTATATACTTTATCAACTCCATTTTTGTTGCTCTAGCTATTTCTCCCATGCTGTAGTGTAAGTTAATACAAATGTAGAAACCTGGGAAATGCTTTCCCAAAGTGAATGGATTCACTAAATACTTGTTTCAAGTCCCTCATTCTCATTTATAAAACAAAAAACAGAAATAGCAAATGAATGTAGATGAGGGCCAAAATTAACCCTCATTGTCATTTTTATTGCAATACCTGCTCTGCTCTTACATACTACCTTGTAAGGTTTTTCCCACTTTTTAAGCCAATATTCAAGATTGATGAATAAATAGACTTATTCTAATAATGAGAACATTCACTGGTATCAAAAGCTCATGAACATTCCTAATTTGGGGGCCTAATATCCCAGTCTGAGAAAATATCCTAAGGAAATAGAAATTTTGGCAAAAATGAGAGAGTATAATTGCAGAATGCTTAAATCAACTATGGTACATCTGTGATGGGGAATGTTATTAGGTCACTAAAAATGAATTAGAAAGTTTTATAATAGAAATTATTTGTAATAACTATTTTTAAAAGTAGAATACATATTTACTTACATATGTACATACACTGTAATCTCAATTAGGTAAAAATACATATATACCAACACAAAAAAATTTTTTAATAATGTATTTTACGTTTTTAAAGTTCTAAATTAGAAAATAATTTGCATGATAATAAAATGAATTGGTTAAAGTGTGGGGAAAGGACACTTATAAGTAAGAGTTAAGTTGATATTTGTTTTCTTTAGAGCAATTTGGCAGTATGTACCAAAAGTCTTTAAAATATAAATTTTATTCATCCAGCAGTTCAAATTCTAAGACTTTTAAAGGGTATCTTTAGAGCTATTTTCAGAAATTGCATTATTCACACAATGGGATAATATACTGGCACTAAAAATCATGAGGCTTATTTGTTTGTTTCTTTGTTTTTTTTTTTTTTTTGCTTATAAAACTGGTGAACATTTTTTCAGCTTTTTTTAAGGTATAGTAATCAAAACTATATATTAATGATGTACAACTTGATTTCTGATATACATATACACTATAAAATAATCATCACAATCAAGCTAATTAACATATCTATCACCCCACATAGTTACTGTTCTTGTTTTCTTTTTCCTTTTTTTGGTGTGGTGAGACATTTAAGACCTATCTGCTCAAAAAATGTAAAGCATACAATATGCTAGTCTTGTAGTCACCACATTGTACATTAGATCTCCGGAATTTATTCCTCTTGTGTAACTGAAACTTTCTATCTTTTGACTAACATATCCCAATTTCTTGCTCCCAATTTCCCCTCCCCATTCCCTAGCAAACACCATTCCACTCTCTGCTTCTATAAATTTGGCTATTTTAGATTCCACATATAAGTGAAATCAGGCAGTATTTGTTTCTTTATCTGGTTTATTTCATGTAACAAAATGTCCTCCACGTTTATCCATATTGTCACAGATGGCAGGATACCCTTCCTTGTTAAGAGTGAATAATATTCCATTGTGTATATATATATTTTTTTTCTTCATTGATTCATTGTTTGATGAATATTTAGGTTGTTTACATGTCTTGATTATTGTCAATAATGCAGCAATAAATAAAAATGATGTTTTAAAAAGTATATTCATTGATTTGGAAATGTATTCAAGGTACACTATTGAGTGGGGGAAGATCATACTAACATACAGTGTGAATGGTATTATCCTATTTTTGTAAATAAATGGGTAAATAATTGCACACATATACAGTCATGTATCACTTAACTATGGGAATACAGTCTAATACAATGTGACCAGGCAATTTCATCATTGTGTGAACATTATGAAGTATATTGACACAAGCCTATAAGGTGTAGCCTATTATACATCTAGGCTACATGGTATAGCCTGTTGCTCCTAGGCTACAAAGTTGTAGAATATGTTACAATTACAATACTGAGCACTGGAGGGAATTGTAACACAATGGTAAATATTTGTGTATATAGACATATCTAAATATAGAAAAGGTACAGTTAAAATATAGTATGAAAGAGTTAAAACATGATACACCTGTATAAGGTGCTAACCACTAAAAGAGCTTTAAGGACTGGAAGTTACTGCGGGTGAATCAGTAAGTGGTAATTGGATGTGAGGCCTAAGACACTGCTACACACTACTGTAGACTTTATAAACACTATACACTTAGGCTGTGCTAAATTCATAAATAGATATTTTTATTTGTTCAATAAGAAATTAAATGTAGCTTTTTGTAGACCTTTACTTTATAAATTTAATTTTTTAATTAAAATTTTAATTAAAAAAATTAAAGTTGAACTTTTTTATTTGGATTTTTTGTAATAAACTGGCTTAAAACACACATTGTACACCTGTACAAAAATATATTCTTTCTGTATATTCTTATTCTATAAGATTTTTATCTACTTTATTTAACTTTTAAATTTTCTTCTTAAAAAATAATACACAAACACACACAGCCTAGGCCTACACAAGGTCAGTATCACCAATATCACTGTCTTCCACCTCCATATCTTATCGCACCAGAAGGTCATTGGGGCAATAACACTTGTGGAACTGTCATCTCCTATGATAACAAGGCCTTCTTCTGGAATATCTCTTCAAAGAGCTGCCTGAGGCTGTTCTACAGTTAATTCCTTTTATATATATGTAGAAGTACTTTCTAAAAGAATGATTAAAAGTATAGTATGGAGCTGGGCATGGTGGGAAATGCCTACAATACCAGCACTTTCGGAGGCCAAGGTGAGCAGACCACTTGAGGTCAAGAGTTTGAGACCAGCCTGGCCAATGTGGTGAAACCCTGTCTCTAATAAACAGATAAAAATTAGCCAGGCATGGTGGCATATGCCTCCAATCCCAGCTCTTCAGATGCTGAGGGAGGAGAATTGCTTGAACCTTGGAGCCAGAGGTTGTAGTGAGCTGAGATTTCACCACTGCACTCCAGCCTGGGCAACAGAGTGAGACTATCTCGAAAAATTTAAAAAAAAATTTTTAAGTATAGTATGGTAAATATATAAACCATTTATATATTATAAATATATAAATATATATAGCATAGTTGTCTATCATCATTGTCTAACATTATATACTGTACATAATTATATGTGCTGTACTTTTATACAGCTGGAAGCACAGTAGTTTTCTTTACATCACCATCACCACAGACACATGAGCAATGCATTGTACTACATTAGGATGGCTACATTTTTGTACAATAGGAATTTTTCCACTCCATTTTAATCTTATGGGACCGCCACTGTATATGTGGTCCATTACTGGCTGAAATATTGTTATGCATTGTATGACTCTGTATAGAAAAAAATATGAATTCATCCCTGAGAGGTCTGAGAAAAGAAAAGAAAAAAATTAGTAAAGATACCATGATATGGCATGTGATATTAGAGGGTGATGGTCTTAATGGGGAATGTATCAGTCAGGGTTCTCCAGGAAACAATTAATAGGGTGTATATATATGTATACATATATATACACACATATATAATAGGATTGTGGGGCCTGCCAAGTTTAAAACTCAGTAGGCTAGAAATGTAGGCAGGATTTGTATAATACTGTTTTGAGGCAGAATTTCTTCTTCTGTGGGAACCTTCAATTTTTTCTTATAAGGCCTTCAACTGCTAGGATAAGGCTAATCCACATTATAGAGAGTAATCTCCTTTACTTAAAGTCAGCTGGTTGTGGATGCTAACCACATTGCTAAAATATTTTCACAGTAACACCTAAGTTAGGTTTTATTAAATCACTTTAGGAAATATATAGCCTGGCCAGTTTACACATAAATTAATCATTATAGGAGACTTTTCCTTTGGTTTTGTGCTTTTTACATTTCTAATTTTTCTTTAATGAAGCTACATTGTGTAGTAAACTTGTAAGAGTAACTATGCATGTGCATAGTGAAAAATCAAACAAAATACACCAAAAAGCAAATAATAAGTTATTGCAGATGATGATTTAGGACTTATTTTTTTCATGCTATTTACCACACTTTTGTAAATGCTCAATATTTTTTTTCTGTAATGCTTTTTCTTGTACAGCTGTAGGGGAAGTTGAGAAAACACTCCTTCATTTAAGCAAGAAAACAACTTCCATATTTGAAGACATCTGAAAATCTCTATCAAATTCTTTTATTCTATGATCACAGTCAATATTCCATTGCCAACATCCTTTCTAGCTATAATAACTGAGGTTAAACTGCCCCTCTGTTACTATTTTTCATTTCCATTATTCAGATCAAGACTCTTGGTTGAAAATCATAGGATAATTTCTAACTAATTTAAACAAAATGAGACTTATTGAATATGTGAGAAAGTGTCAGAATCTCAAAGAGCCAGAGAATTGGACTTAAAATGCTAAGCAGCTAGAAATACAGAAATAATGCCCATCTTCTACCTTTGGGGAAAAGTATTAGTAAAAACAGCCCTGCTACCACCACTCACTGCTCAGCACTGATCATATCTGAGATTGAGTGCCAGAAACACCAGCACCACAACCCAGAAGAACCATAACCACCCCCTTCCACCACAACTACCAGAAAATCAATCTCTCTGTGGCCACATCCTAACACTGCTCTCTTTCTCATCAGTCTTTGGTAGGGGTGCATCCAAATGAGGAAATCTAAGTCCCGTGCTTGTACCTTAAGTAGCAAAAGATTCTGATGCAGTTTTTGCAGCATACTTTAATGAGACAAGACTCAAAAGATGTACAGGACATAAGAGAACATTTTCAAAAGATGTCGAGCAGACACAAATAACTATTGTACCCATTGACATATGAATACTCAGTCAGATTGGTGCAGAGAGTCTCATGCATAGTACAGTATTCTCCTTGTTTGCCATCCTTACCTTCCACACCTTGATGAGTAGAAATCAGAAAGTATCTGAGTCCAGG